GCCCTCCCCTCCCCTGCCCCCTCCTCCTCCTCTGCCCCCTCCTCCCCTACCCCTCCTTGGGTGGCCTGGGTCTGAGTGGGGAGCAAGCTCTCTAGCTGCCTATTCTCTGAGTCTCCTGAGGCCCTGGGGGCCCCTCACTGGGCCTTCCAGATGTTTCCAGCTGGGCCTCTGAGCAGCCCTTTCCCCAGGCTGGTCCCCTCCTGGGCTGACAGGTGGGCCCCACAGCCTCCCCCCCCCCCAATCCCCCGACAGCCTGGACTGGACTGTTCGGGTTGCTCTGTTTTATTTCATTTTATCTTGTTTAATTTGAGCTGGCAATTTAAAACTTGGGGCGATTTCACCAGAAATGGTCAGAATTCTCCCCAGCCCTCCCACAACCCCTGGCTGCAGCTGGAACAGCTGGTCTGGAATCCCGTCACCCCCCGGCAGGGCTGCGCCTGGCCTCTGGATGAGGTCCTTGTGAGGGTCAGGAGCCCTGGAAGGCCTCAGGAGAGGAGCAAGGGAGATTGGCAGGGGCAGGGAGGGGACCAGGAGCTAGGTGAGCAGTGCTGGTATCGGAACTCAGGGCCTCAAGCTTGGGAGGCAGGTTCTCTACCACCTGCCCCAGTCCTTTCCGCTCTAACTATTTTTCAGATAGGGTCTCGTGCTTTTGTGTGGGCCGGCCTTGGATTTCGATCCTCCTACCTCTGCCTCCCAAATAGCTGGGATTACAGGCAGGGAGGACCTCGCCCTGCTTCCTGCCAGTCCAGGAGATAGATGCAGCCTTCAGACTGGAGGTTTAGTGGTGGAAGGCCAGAGGCTCTTCCTGGAAGACATTTAAGAGCTTATCTTACATCCAGTGTGCTCAGGCCTTAGTGGGCTGCAGTCTGTGATAAGGTGATTAAGATCTTGAGATCTTTCCAGATTATTTGAGACCGGGGCAGCGGCTTGCGTGGGTCTTCCCTCTGCCCGTGGCAGCGCCTGGCCAGCTCTGAACGCACAGTCATTTCCTGGCTCCTCTATGTCCGTGTAGTATTTTCCCAGCCACCCCTCTGCGCACCCCTCTCTGCACCGCTGAGGGGCGCATTGCACGTCACTGCCCCTCACCGCGGCACCTTTCCTGCTCTTCTCCCTTGCATTTCCCTTCCTCCTCCTGTGCCACTTCCTCCAGGAAGCCCTCCCTGCCTGCCTCCCCCCCCCCCCAGAACTGTATGGCCTGCCAGCAGGGCCACCTGGACCCGCCCTCAGTGCTGGTGACCCAGGGGCGGGGGGGGGGTCCCTGTGGATGTAGGGTGACCAGAGCCCAGAAACCACAATGACAGTCACAAACAGCATCTTGGGAGATCAGGACTTTGGGGTGACAGGGGGCAGACCCCCAAGGTACAGCAGCTGTTCCCATGGCAACGGCCCAAGGGCTACCCTACCCTTACCTGACACCCTGGAGGGCCCCCCAAGCCCCTTCCCCCACTTCTGCAGAAGCAGAGCGAGGCGTGAGTCAGGGTGGCACTGTGTGGGAAGTCATCTGACGGGACCGGATGTCCCGGCCACATGGGCTGGCCTTGCGCAAGAGGGACTCTGGGTGGGGGGGGTGGGGGTGGCTTTGACACCTGTTTCCACGCTCCCAGGGAGGCTGCCCACCCATCCAGGTGGGACTGCAGAGCCTCTTGGGGAGCAAAGGGGGCCCAGGAGAGGGGGTGATGGCAACCTTGTACCAGTGGGAGCAGGGAGCCACCGAAAGCCAGGGCGGGTGCGCCGCACCGAAGTAGCTGCAGGACCAGCAGCCTGGGGTGGGGTAGCCAGGCCTCAGACAGTGCAGGCAGCAGAACCTGCCCCACAGCTGGACCTCCCCGCTCGCGCGTCTCCCTCCGTGAGGACAGCTGCGCCAGGCTGGCCCACAGCGGGCACAGAGGGGGTTTTGATTCTGCTGGAGGGCAGGATGCTGCAGCCACCGCCTGCTGCCCAGAGAGCCGGGGTGGAGACCTCCTGCCGCTGACCCCCCCCCCGCCCCCCCAGGCATAATTTTAGAAACTTAATGAGGATCACTCTGCTGGGGGGGTGGGCTGGGACACTCGAGTCTCTCAGGCCAGGCGGGGGAGGTCAGGGCTCTGAGGGGCTATTGTGTGCCACTGGCTCCTGCTCCCACACTTGCTTCTTTGTGGGACCTCCTCCCCCACCCCAACCTCCCCCTTCTTGCTGGCCTTGGACTATTTCTGAGGTCACCTCCTGCTCTCTCCTGAGGCCCCCAGAGCCACCAGGAAAAGTGTGGAAAGAGTAGACAGCCCCAGGATGGCGAGGCCCAAGTCTTCTTTAAAAATAACTGAGGCCCATGTCGGCAGCTCATGCCTGTAGTCCCAGCTACTCAGGAGGCGGAGATCAAAGCTAGCCAGGGCAGACAAATCCAAGAGAGTCTCATCTCCAATTAACCAGCAAAAAGCTAGAAGTAGAGGTGTGGTTCAAGTGATAGAGCACCACCTTGAGCCAAAAAACTAAGCAAGAATATGAGGCCCTGCGTTCAAGCCCCAGTACCAACACACGCACACATACACACGCACAAGGTCTAGGAGTAGGGCCCAAGCATGCTTGGCGTCCTGAGTTCAGGCCTTCTTAGCATTGTAAAGCCAAATTCAGAAATCTTTGCCCAAAAGACCACCAGAGACTATCACCAATGTAAAAGCAACAGAGTCTTTATTGCAAGCTCGAGCTTGGTCTGCCGCGTACATGGCAGCAGCCCGTGACGCCGCTGTCCAGGGTTACAGCACTTTTTATACACTTTTTTAGGGAAGGCAGGGGCTTTGCATACATTGTAACTTCTTGTAACAGATGACTACAAACCTCAGGAAAATCCTAAAACAACTCTATAGTATGACTGGCGCACTACAAAGCAGGAAAGGACCAGAAACAAGTTGTTGGTTAGATCAAGGGGGCTGATGTACTTTAAACTGGTAGGCTTGCACCACAGGGGCATCTCAAGAGGATAGGTGCTAAACTGCAGGATGTCTGCTTTAGATAATGGTCATCAGACTCTAGAAGGGGCTGTTCTGGAATTTCAGATATCGTAATTCCAGGCATTGGGGCTGAAGTGGGTCGAGGGTTAAGTTGCAGAACTGAGATGGGGGTCTTAAGTGAAATGGAGCTGCTTAGGTTCCTCAGCATAACAAAAACAACCCAGAAAATCAGCTCTAATTAGTAAAATACTACTGGCAGTGATAATTACTAGTCATCTTTATATTAACCAATGGGCAGGGGCTGTTTCGTGGCAGGGGCGGGACATTGAGCCCACAGCGGCTTCCGCACAGCTCCTGGTCACACAGCTGCTTGGGAGAACCAGCTCTGCTCCCATCACCCCTCTGAGCTGCCCTTCTGGGGAGCCCTGTTGGCCCCAGCCTTCCTTCCCAGGCCTCCATGAGAGGCTGTCCTTCCCGCTGCCTCCCTTTCTCACCTCTCACCTCTCAGGGGACCCTTCCTCTGAGCCATGGAGACACAAGTTGGGCCCCAAGGCAAAGCTGGGGAGCAGCTGTGACAGTGGAGGGGATTCCCCTAAGGCCTCAGGATACAGGGGATTCCCACTCCTCCAGGGACAGGCTTGTGGGGAGGGGAGGGGGCACCCTAGCTGAGCCACTGAGGCCTGAGCCCTGTGTGCTGTCTGGTGACCCATTCCTGGCATAGGACAGGAGGGGGCAGCTGGCAGTGCAGCCCGGCCCGGGGGGCTCAGGGCCTGGGGATGTGGGGGCACTTCTCCAAGGAGCCCAGGGGTGAGGAAGAATGGGGGGCCCCCGGGCCTACTCTTTCCCCATTGCCAGCGGAGGCCTGAAGGAGGGGCAGGAGGAAGGCTGGGGGGCTGGGGCCTCCTTGGAGGTCTGGCCTGGTGATGGGATGCAAAGCCCTCGCTCCGCTCCAGGCCCAGGTGTTTATTTGTTCTAAAACAGTCTCCTTGCCTGCTGCCTGCTCAAGATCCAACGTGCAGAACTGTGGAGAGCCCAGTCTCTGTCCCCGCTGCCTCCTCTCCTCCAGGAGCTGGTTTTTGTTTTGTTTTGTTTTCAGATCTCAGCCTCCTCAGTAGCTAGGATCATAGGCATGAGCTGCCTCACCCACCTTTCTTCTTGTTGTTGTTTTAATATTTCTTTCTGCAGCTACTAGCCCAGGGTGGTGGGTTTTAGGTCTCATTTCATTTCCTGCATCTGGCTCCCAAGTGCTGGGACTACAAATGAGTACTACTGCACCTGGCTGTCCTTATCCTTTTTTTTTTTTAATTTGGTGGGAATGTGCATTTGCTTGGCAGACGCTCTACCACCTGAGTAATGCTTCCAGTCCTGTCCACCTCCTTTTCTTTTCTTTTGTCTTTTCTTTTTTGGTGCTGGGGCCTGAACTCAGGGCCTGGGCCTTGTCCCTGAGCTTTTTTGCACTCTACCACTTAAGCCACACCTCTACTTCTGGCTTTTTGATGGTTAATTGGAGATAAGAGTCTCGTGACTTACCTATCCAGGTTGGCTTCCAACCATGATCCTCAGATCTCAGCCTCCTGAGTAGCTAGGATGACAGGCCTGAGCTACCAGCACCTGGCTTTATCTCCTTCTCAACAGCCACCTGCATTGCACCTACTTTGAGGCTGCTGCCTGCAGAACCGTTCTGTTACATTCTCCACATCTGTGTGCTGAATTCCCAGGTTACACAGCACACACTGGGTAGGGCTTGGTGGTTCACACTTGTAGTCCCAGCACTCAGGAAGCAGAGACAGGAGGACCTTGAATTCTATACACCCTGAAACCCTGTCTCAAAAGGGCCTTGTCACCACTGGCACTGGGCCAGGGAGGCTCAAGGGATGGCGCTTCCTGGAACCTGGAGCACATGGGGCTCCAAGAAGGAAGGAGGTTTTTGGTTGCACAACCTGCTTATGATGGGGGAGTGGGGGAAATGCTAAATAGGTTTAGAAATGAGTCAGGTCCTGACTCACTTCTCCTTTCTTCCTGGCTTTCGTCATTTTAGGAGGAATTGACCCTGTGTGGCAGAGGCTTTCCTGTTGGGGCCTTGGGACATTTGTCAGGAGGATTGCAGTCTGAGGTCAGCCTGAGCAAAAAGTTTGAAAAACCCCATCTCAACTGAGAAAGGCAAGGTGTGGTGGTAAGTGCCTGCTGTCCCAGCTGTGCTGGAAATGTAGATAGGGGGATCTCAGTCCAGCCTAGCCTGGGCATAAATGCAAGATTCCATTTGGAAATGATTAAAACAGAAAAGGAGGTGGGGGGGGGGTGAGGCCCAAGTGGCAGAGCACCTGCTGCTTTGTGAGAATGATGGAAAAGCACGGGGAGGCAGGAGGTGACAGAGGTCAGGTGGGGTGTGTCCAGCTGAAGGAAGGCATGAGCCCCATGGAGAGACCAGGCATGAAGCACGGCTGGCACAAAGGCCCTGAGGCCAGTCAGAGCAAGAGCAGCAGAAATGTTTGTGGCTGGAGTACAGTGAGCCGGGCTGAGGGGCTTTTAGAGCTGAGGGCGGCGGAGAAAATAGAGCCTGGAGCCTACAGTTCTCGGTGACTCTCTAGACCATGGGGAAACTGAGTCAGGAGCTTAGGCTGGTGGAAAAGAAGTGGCCTTGGTAGGTCTGAAGGGCTAAAGCTAGGCCTGTGCCCAGCACTGTGCCACCATGCCCCTGTGACCCCTGGCCTGGCCGGACGGGCTTTGTGGGGTGAGGCCGGCTGGGCCCCTCAATTTGAGAGGACGTTGGCACGGGCCACCACCACTTCTAGCCACAGGAGCTGGAGCGGAGCTGGTGGCGAGAGGGAGGCCAGGCCACACTGGGCCATGCCAGGCTCCTCCCGGCCCCGGCAAGGGGCGCTGACCCTAGACTGCCCCGTGCCAGGTGCCAGGGCTGCTGGGCCAACACCCGTGTTCGGCTCAAATTCCAACAGGCGCAGCCAGGTGCACAGCCCCAGCCAGAGCTCCTTCTGGGAGCCCCGGAAGGGACAGTGGGGCCGGGTGGCCGGCCATGCAAGACGGCAACCTCAGGAATGCCAGGGTTCGCCCCAGTTTGGCCTGAGCTGTGGGATCCCCAGTACCCCAGCCCCAGCCTGGGTCCCGAGGCACCCTGGGGCAGCAGATGCCCTGTCGATCCAGGCCACACAGGCCCAGGCTGTGCCATTCCACCAAAGCCTCTGTGTGTTAGGGTTCACAGAACAACAGCTCTAGGCCATCTAGAAATTTCTGTGAGGTCCAGGCAGGCTAGGCTTGAGCCCTACTGCCTCCATGTCCTCCTGTGTGAGCTTTGAAAACTTGCTTAACCTCTCTGGGCCGTACCTTGTGAAATGGAAACAGTACTTCCCCAGCAGGATTGCTGCCTTAGCAGTGCTAGGCAGATCATGTGACTGTTGGTGAGAAGAATATGACTGTGTGGCGCTGCCCCCTCCGCAGTGCCCTTGGTCCCACTCCCAGAAGCCCCTTCGTGGCAGTAAGTCACAGGTTCCCCACTGTGCCATGAGGTTACGGGGTTCCTGAATGCCCCAGTGTTGGGGAGCAGCCAGCAGGCGGCCTGGCATCACAGGGTGCGTGTGGTTGATCATTTATTTAGGATTCAGTGCTAGGGCCCCTCAAAAGACAAGCACTAGCAGGGCGCTGGTGGTGCCCGCCTGTCATCCTAGCTACTCAGGAGGCTGAGACCTGAGGATCATGGTTCAAAGCCAGCCCAGGCAGGAAGGAACAACTAACCAGCACAAAGCTAGAAGTAGAGCTGTAGCTTAAGTGGTAGAATGCTAGCCTTGAGCAAAAAAGCAAAGTTTTGCTAAGGGTCCCTGAGTTCAAGTCCCTGGACAGTCACATCGGTCACATTCTCTGTCTCTGTCTCTGTCTCTGTCTCTCTCTCTCTCTCTCTCACACACACACACACACACACACACACACACACACACACACACACACACACCAACTCAACCCCAGCAACCAACCCGCTGTGTGATCTGGGCCATGTTACCGAACTTCTCTGGATCTCAGTCTACAATAGGCAGCTTGTAAGGAGCACCAGATACAGAGTATGAGTGGGATTTTACTTCCCATCCTCCACTTCTGGTTCTGGCCTTCACCAGGCTGTCCTCAGCCTTCTCTGCCTAGACTGGATTTCTCTTTCTTTCTTTCTTCTTTTTTTTTTTTTTTGTTGTTTGTGGGGCTTAAACTCTGGGCCTGGGCGCTGTCCCTCAGCTCTTCAGCTCAAGGCTAGCGCTCTAACACTTGAGCTACAGCACCACTTCTGGTTTTCTGGCGGTTTATTGGAGATAGGAGTTTCATGGACTTTCCTGCCCAGGCTGGCTTTGAATCACTATCCTCAGATCTCAGCCTCCTGAGTAGCTAGGATTACAGGTGAGAGCCACTGGCGCCTGGCTTCTTTTCCTTTTTATTGGTTGTGGGGCTTGAACTCAGGGCTTGGGCGTTGTCCCTGAGTTCTTTTGCTCAAGGCTAGCCCTCTACCACATGTGCCACAGCTCCACTTCAGGCTTTTTTGGGTAGCTAATTGGAGATAAGAATCTCATGGACTTCCCTGCTTGGGCTGCCTTGAACTGATCCTCAAGATCTCAGCCTCCTGAGTAGCTACGATTACCAGCTCCTTGTTGGGTCCACTCTCACCTCTTGAGTTCAGCCAGCTGTGTGGCTGTCACAGGACCTGCATCAGGTAGAGGAAGCTCTGCCATTCCTACTTTAGTGAACATTCGGATCACAGAAAGCATGCTAGGTTTTGTCAAATGTCCTTTCTGTGTCTAGCATGATTGTGTGGCCCCTGTAACTTTTACTTCCTGCTTGAAAGTTTTGGGTTGGAAATGTTGATTTTTTGTGGGTTTTTTTTTTTTTTTTTTGTTTTGTTGGTCATGGGGCTTGAACTCTGGGCTTCAATGCTGTCTCTGCACTCTTCAGCTTAAGGTGAGTGCTCTAGTGCTTGAGCCAAAGTGCAACTTCCCGTTTTCTAGTGGCTTATTGGAGATAAGAGTCTCATGGACTGTCCTGCCCTGGCTGGCTTTGAACCGCGATCCTCAGATCTCAGCCTCCTGAGTAGCTAGGATGACAGGCGTGAGTCTCCGGCGCCCAGCTGTGGGTTTTTTTTTTTCCAGGGGTGAGGGTGGGGTGCAATTGTACAGCTCCCCTATAAGCCACAGGGTCGGGGCTCACAGGTAAGGCACTAAGGGCCAGAGAGGACAAAGTAGCTCCCAGGGTGGGGGTTGGTTCAGGAGTTGAGGAGCTGGGGTAGGAGTCAGCGCAAGATGGAGAACCCGGGCTTGCTAGTGCTTTTTGCTTAGAAGGGAGGAAGGAAGCAGAGGAGGGAGGGAAGAAAGGAAGGAAAGGGAAAAAAAGGAAAGGAGAAAAAAAAAATCCATCGGTCGTTTCCTTAACCGTCTCAAGAGAGATTTTCTGCGGGTCTCCGGTCTCCCTAGTAATGGCCTGTGGTGTTCTGCCAACTTCCTCGTACCAGAACAAGGGCAGCGGTTGGGCCCGAGCCAATTTCCTCTGTTATTAAAAACAACAACATGTTAGCTTGGGCTCCATGGCTCTCACCTGTCGTCCCAGCTACTCAGGAGGTTGAGAGCTGAGGATCTCGGTTCAAGCCAGCCTGGGGAAGGTAAGTCTGTGAGACTGTGGTCTCCAGCTAACCACCAGCAAGCAAGAAGTGGCGCTGGGGCTCGAGTCAGAGTGCTAGCCTCGAGAGAAGGAGCCTGAGAAAGAGCCCGGGCCCCGGGTTCAAACAAGGAGAGGGCAAGCAGGAGTTTCAGGGGTTCGCCTGCCCATTCCACAGACAGGGGACGCGTCCGCTGGAAGCGGGGAGGCGCCCGGGCCTGGGTCCGAGCTGCTGGAGCCGGGGAGGGTGTCACGGAACTAGGATCCACAAGTGGGGGATGGGGCTCTGAGATGTGGATGAAACTGGGGGGGGGTGCGGTTCCAGGCTGCGAGTGGGGTCTGGGTGTGACCTGGGGTGAACCAGGAGGCGATCAGAGGGTGCAGGGCAGGGCAGGAGGTCTCTGGGGGAGACCTGGGTGCTGGCGAGCCGCGGGGCCCGAGCGCACGCAGAGGCGCGAGGAGCAGAAAGTCCAGGCAGGGTCTCGCCAGCCGCCCACCCAGGCCCCGCCCACCCAGGCCGTGCTCCACCCCCAGGGGCACCATCGCTCCCGGGCCCCGCCCACAGAGGCGGGCGCCCCGCCCACCCAGGCCGTGCTCCACCCCCAGGGCCACCATCGCTCCCCGGGCCCCGCCCACAGAGGCGGGCGCCCCGCCCACACAGGCCCCGCCCACCCGTCCCGCCCGCTCCCTCCCGGCGGCGCGGCCCGCGCAGATCTCCTGGTTGACAGGCGCCGGAGCTGGGTGAGTACCTCAGGGGTGTCTGTGGGGACGCGGACGGGGTCCCGGGATGCCGCGCCCTTAGCAGGTCTACCGGATGCCGTGGGACCCCCGAGAAGCGGCGGGATCGGGGAGGATGGCGGACGCGGGAGGGGGCCCGCCGGGAAGGGTCCAGCCTCGGGGCGCTTTCCCCCCCACTCCGTGCGGCAGGTTGGGCTCGGTCCCCGCGGTCGGGCCGCGTACTTGGGGGCCCCTCCCCGGAGAGGACGCCGTCGGGGCGGCGGCGGCTCAGGAAAAGGCGCGATTCGCTCCAGAAGCTTCAAAGCTCAAAGTTTCAGAATCACAGGATTCCGAAACAAAAAGCACCTCGAAGTTTCGGGGTCTCCCCGGGCATCCGCGCGCGCCCGGGTCCGGCCCGGAGGGGTCCGGGACCGCGTGCCCTCCGCGGGGCCTCGGCGGGGCCCCCGGGCCACAGGGGTTCTGTGTCACCCCTGGCGCCGGGCAGATGCTGGGGGGAAGCCTGGCCGGGGTGGGCGCCGCCCCTCGCGGCCCGGCCCCGCCGCAGCTCTCCTCCCGCCCTCTGGTTGGGATCCCGGATCTGCGGTCCGCGATCTCCCACCTGGGTGGTGCGGTTCCGCCCGCAGCTCCAGTCCCGGCGGCGGCGGGGAGGGGAAGGGTGTGGGTGTGTTCTCTGTTTGGGGCCACTTGGTCTTCTCTACTTTTCCTGCCGGTTTCCTCCTTCCTTATTTTGGAGCTGATGTCATTGGCTGTTGAAAATAATTTCAAAAAGCCACTCACCTTCTGAGCCCCCACCCCACC